CTTTCACTTGAAGAACCAAAAACCCAACTTGGTCATGGTTGGACCCAGTTGAGAAGAACACGAGAGCAATGTTCTGGTCCGGGCAGTGAAGCAACCGGAGGCGATTATGAAACAAAAAAGACGTGGCAGCAGGGTCATGATGGTAGGAGCTTGCGCCAAAGAGAGAAGCAATGGAGTGGAAAAAGTCTGCTGTATCCCCGGGATACAGCAACGTGGTATCCCAACCCAATGGGAAAACACCACATCAACAATTTTTTCAGACTTCATCAATCCCAAACCCAAAAAACAACACCTCGCTATTTTTCTCTTCTTTCAATGTCACTCCCTACTTTCCACCTTCTTGTTCTTCTTCGTTTCTTTCCCCTTCAATCTTCTGCTCATGTTTATTAACAGTAGCTTAGATTTCTTTCCCCTGATTTAAAGTTCATCGGAGTATCAAAACGAAACCTAATGGAGTTATCGGACGAATGGAAGTCTCAGTTCCCAATTCGCACCTCCTTCAAGCCGCCACTGCTTCTCTCTTCTTCTTCCTTAGGCCCCCTTTGCTTCAACCCTAAACCCAATACCCCACCAGAACCCCTCTTCTCTTCACCATCTTTATTTCCTCCTTTCCTCAATTCCACTCCTCAACTCTCCCTGTCCAGGTTTCTTTCCACATCCTCTCTCCCGCTCTCCACGGCACACTCCATTGGAGAAACTTTAGAATATCACGGGGATACCACGTCAGTGGTATCCCGAACCAATAAAAATATAACAACTCAGCACTACGGACACAGCTCACCCATGTAACGGCAGAGAGCATTTAACGTGAAATTATGAAGCGTTAACACCGTTAACGGAAAACTGGAAAGTCTTCGCCTAAAATCTTATGCCCGCCTTCTTAAATTTATTATTTCCCTTTCTTTTCCCATGTTTAACATTCCATTACCCCTCCACATTTAAGACACCCCCCCTTTTTTTGTCCCTTCCTTTTCATTTGGCCGTCGACATTTAAGCTTTGTTTTTCTTCCTCTGTTTCATTATAAGGTACTCAAAATCTTAGCTTAGATCAATTAAGCAAGTTTTTCTTTTTCCCCATCCCTTTTAAATTGTATTATTTGGTATTCATCTTAATTATCAATTCTTGTTTTTAAAGTTCATTGAACAAAATTTAGAACTAAGAAGGGTGTTTGGTAGGTAAAAACTTTTCTCTTAAAGTTCTCTAAGATTATTTACATATTTTACACACATTAATACTACAACAAAAACATAATTTTCAACCTGTAAAATTTTCTTCCCACTTATTTTGCAAGAAAATGTTTGTTTATAACTATTCTCATATTAAGCACACTTAACAACTTTCCTTACCAACTTTCCTTGTATCAATTTCTTGTTAAATACAACAAAATTAATAAACAACAAAATTCTAACTAAACTTAACAACATTTTATACAGTGCTTTATAATTTTATGTACAGTACTTTATCAACTACTTTCCAAACAAAAAGAGGCAAATAATATCAAATATGATGAAATTTTATTAATAATAGAAAGTGCTTACAACTTGTACTACTCTATGATACAAGACAAATTAATAACTTTTTTTTTCTTGGATGGCAATAAACTATTTATTTATTTATTACATTGAATCTAAAGACAGGTTACTCAAAAGTCAAAACCTTAACAAAAACATTATGGTTCATCCACAATTGAGAACACAGTAACTTCCCACTCCTTAACAATGTAACAGCACGTCTCCTTCTCTTCCACAGGGTTTATCAACCAATCTGACACCTAAATGATATCAAACATTCCATTCTCATCAAACTCAATATCTTAGAACAACTTGTTATTCCTAAAAGTCCAATGAGTTGAGATAACAGCAAGCCAAACAATATCCGCACCATTATTTACCTCCTTAGGAGTGAGTGAAAATGTGCCCATGTTGATGAAATGCATCATAACAGCATCCTGCAATGACAAACTCAATCCCCTACCATGAAACATTCTTTTCAAATTCTAAAAGCCACTTTACAATGTTTAAAGGTGAATAGCATTTTCCTCCACCTCATCGCAAAAGGCACATCTAGCCAAATAGAAAATGATTTTCCAAGTCACAACAAAATACTAAAGAAATACCCAAGTTTTTTTAATCTAGCCTTTCAAATTTTTTCAATTCAGAAAAGAAAATATATTTAATTTCTCCTAGATTCCAATTTTTTTCTCTGCTCGTGCTCTCCTTTGAGTTCTTCTCTTGGATCACCTTCAATTTCTCAGGGATTTTTTTATTCCTTTCTTACATTCTATACAATTTCAAGTTGCCTGATAAATTTTAAAAAGCTTGCATCCGAAATTCAAGAGATATATGTTTGCTATCCATAAATCTCTTAACAAGCTAAAGCAAATCTAAGTTCTGGCCATTTGAAGAGTAAATTGACCAAGTACTTGATTTTCAAGTACCCATCTAACAAAACCATATTCAATCAGTATAATAACCTGACTAAAAAAAAAAAAAAAAAGACAATAAGCTGAAAACTAAACAGAAATCATGTAAAATTAACAAAAAGTCCAGATTCACAATCTAATGATTTACAATAATGAATATAAATTCATCATCAATATGCAAGAATTGAAAATAAGAGTTCAAATAGACTGAACTTATCTCAAAATAGAAATTACCCTTTTTTATACTTGAAGCTTTCTATTCCTCTTCCTTTCGCAAAGTACCTCAAAAAATCTCGTCTTTCACTTATCATCTCAATACCACCACCAGATCCCCAAAATCTTCATTACGCTCCTGTTAGACTCCAATGCGACACAATCAACCACAACAACCACTATAGCACGAAATGACAGCCCATGGCCATCCGCCTCTACCCCTCCCTCACCGTCTAAGATGAGATGGAAAACGAAGGCGCCCTAGTGGCTTTAGTCGCACAAGAGGAGGGAGGAAGGGAGATCTTCTAACCTGCGGAAGCTAGGGCTTTTTCTCCGTCAATGGCGTTAATGCTTCTTGATGACGTTAAATGCTTTCTCCCGTTACATCGATGAGCTGTATCGTGATTCTGAAATGTTGCTTTTTTATTGGTTCGCGATACCACGTCAGTGGTATCCCCGTCATATTCTAGACTTTCTCGAGCCGAGGAGAGAGATGATGGGAAGTTGCCAGTTGCCAGGGGCCCGTTAGGTCAGGGCCAGGACTTGGTCCTGGGCCTGGGCCCGGACTGTCAACAGAAAGCACCGAGCAGATGCAAAAAGTATGTTTGTGCCTCCGAGATTTCTCAGAAAGGCCCCAAAGTGCCAGGCAGATTACATTTAACTGACAGGTAAATTAATACTAAGTATGAAAATTAACCATTTATTAATTATTTATAAAAAGCCATTTTCTGCAAACATAAAAACTCCAGGGAGTACTTAGACACAACAAGAAAATAATAGGTTCAACAATGATGGATAAGGAGCACCAGGCTCCTCAAATACAAAGAACATTGAAGTTCAGAAAAGATCACAAAAGTAAATCCATTATCCATACTACATCCAGCCACTTGACAATCATGATGAGCATATTATTCGAAGACTTCTAATGGTGGCTCACGCGCTTGATGCTGGCGCTGGCTTTGTTGCTGGAGCTGCCCTTGTTGCTGGAACTGCCCTTGATGCTGGCATTGACCTTGATGTTGGCACTGATCTTGACTCCGGAGCTGCCCTTTGTGTTGGAGCTGTGCCTGGTACTGGAGCTGTCCTTGATGAGGTTTTTCCCATTGCTGCTGGAGCTGGCCTTGATGCTGTTGCTCCCTTTGCTGCCCGAGTTGCCCTTGTGGCTGCTACTTCCACCATAATCAACTCTTCGAAACTTCTCTTCAACCTGGTATTCAGCATAACCATATTTGTCCCCAACCCTGCAAACTTTGGTGTTTGTGTACTCATTCTTGATACCAACTCTTCCTGTTGATCTCTCCTTGACAATATCTCCATTGGACATAACCTGTTTCGCTACTGCATGAGCGTAGGCACCAGTGTGCTTGTCCACACAACTGGCCCTTGCAGTTCTTTCATAGGAATTGGATTGTTTCCCTTTCGCACCCACATAATTTGGGGTGATGCTATTCTGCTTTCCACCATGGTTCTGAGCCGATGTAAAAAATCCAGCAAATGCCCCATATGCAACAACAGCCTTAGATGACCTGTCAGCCATTGAGATCTCTTACTCTGAAACAATAGCAAAGAAAGTAGTGAAGAAGTTAGAAAGGGCAGCACAAATGACTTCACATAAATATAGAGAGAAGCACAGGGAAAAAGACAAGTTCAATTCAACTAGTAGTTTCCAATCCAGATGAACAATTTGTCGGATAGAACAAAGAGAGTAAGACGATAAAAAGAGAAGAAACAAAGCAAACAAGTAATTTCCAAAATTGACTTCAGATTGTAATTTATATTAAAGTCAACTTGGTTTTTAAAAAAAAATCTCACAGATGTTAATAATACATGACTCAGGAACGAAACTCATATTTTATCATTATGAAAATCGCAAATCAACCCAACAAATGCTGAACTAATTGGTACTTATTAATTTCTAAACAGAACAAGGTAATAGCTAAACATTAATAACATTCAGATTCACCAACATTAGGAAATTATAACCCAAATCACCCTTAACATTATCATTTTTGAAGCAGAGTAAACAGAATTAGGAACAATTGAATATCTACTAGAAAGAAAAAGAGAAAAATACCAAAAAAAATTTAAAAAAAATGGAGCAGAAACACTTTGGTCTAAAAATGAGTTTTTATTTCTTGTTTCTTAAGAAAAGATCAAGAAATTCTACTCCCATTTCTTTCATCATTTTGTTTTCTCAAGTACCAAACAGCAAAACAACAGATCCACTAAAAAAAATAGACAAACAAAAGACCAAGATGAGGCATACAGAACTGCAGTGAAAATAGCTGAATAAACTTTCCAGCAAAAATTAAAAAAAGAAAAAAGAAAAAAGAAGCAGAATGAACCTAATCAAAATCACAATCGGTGACGATTTTGCATATCCGATTACAACATCATACAGAAATATGAAAAAAGATTAAAAAAAGAAGAAGAAGAGAGAATTGCAAAGGGATTTTGTGAATCCTCACCTTCCTTTAGAAGTTTTGATTGACTTTGACGAACACAGTCTGCCTAGCCGTCGGGTAGAGAGCACAGGAGAGAATATATCTATCTTTACGTTAAGGACCCGCGCCCCCACTTTTCCAACTGCTCGAGTTACGCTGCTGAGGGCTATTGAGTAATTTGAAACATGGGGTCCACCACTAAGAAATGTCTTTGTATCCCGTCCAATAAAAAATCGACATATCATCAAATTTATACACCTCATCACCGTGTCGGTTACAATCCTCCATCTTGTTTCCTGCGAAATTGTTGTGCATGCGTGGGCTTCCGAGAAATTCTGTTGTATTCCCGGGTAATCCACGTTAACTTTTCTTGGTAAGGTGACTGATAAAGTGTGAAAAAAAAAAGAAGTTAATATGATATTTTGTTTGATTGGTTTGGAATACCATATTGGTGATATCTCATAGATGCAATAGAATTTCCCATGAACTTCCATCTTTTAACCCATCCGACTAAGTACCATTTTTATTTTTATGAAAAGAAAATTAATATTTTTTGATGAGAAATAAAAAAATATATTAAATAATAAAAAATTATAATTGAATCTTTATCTTATGATCATAGCCAAAATCAAAATAACTTAAAGATAAAATCAAAAACATAACTTGTAACATTAGTAATAAACTTTACTTATGACAGATACAAACAATTAAGTAAAGAGAGTCATTTACAATTATGGATTAAATTTACAATTGTTGTATGAGTTAAATATAGCTACAATATAGAAAGGGGAGTCATTATGAGTATTAAAAACTACTGAACATCCTTACCTATTTAACCAATTTCTTGGGGAGAGGAAGGGATTCTGTCAACAAACAGTTCTCAACTCACAAGTTGCCGTCCTATTTGTTCTTAAAGAAGAACAACCAAAAGGGGTATAGGCTTTTACCTAACAAGCACAAGGCCCTCCAGTTGCCTCCATATACTCCCAATCATGTTCCCATCTTTGCCGATCCTCTGTCGAAACTCATTAAGGAAACTAAACCTCTTTTGCCAGCTTGAAAATTAAGCTTCCCACACAAACCATAACCGGCCTTACCAACAGCATCCCTTTCCTTTGACAATTGGCTATGATCAAGAATTAGTGTGAACGAGATTTGTAGAATTCGACCTCGCGAAGATCCAATCTGAAGAGATGCACCAAAATGAGATTCTTGCCTATTAATTAGGGAAACTCAATTCACCAGCAAGATCAATTTTAATTGCAGTCTTCAAAAATCAATAAATGTAAACCCTAAAAAACTTAAAAAGTCATTGCTTTGTGATCCCTTGGATTGGAGTTTTTAAAGCAGGATAGTGACAAGAGGAAGGAGATCAAGAGGAGGAAGGGAGGGGTAAGAAGAAAGGAGGGATGAAGGAACTCCTATGCTGAAGAGAAACCTTAAGGAGGAAAACCTGTAGCCAGTGCTCTCAACACTAGAAGTAGAACACGGAAAAAACCTGAAAAAAAAAAATTAATATTGAATTACTTATATTGTTAGTAATTTTTTTTTTTTTTCTTCTTTCTAGATGTTAGTTCGCTAGGTAGTTCATTGGCAATTGGGAACAGAAACTTCCATTCGTCCGATAACTCTGTTGGGTTTTGGTTTGATGC